GCGGTGTGATGAACTGAAGGAGTATGGATGTGGTCGATCATCAGGCTCTCATGTCAGTGACGCAGCAGACAGCGCATAGCAGAGAATGACGATTGCGGCATCATGCTGCGACCCCTATCTGCTGGAGCAAGGCTGTTGGGAAATTACCCTTTCCAACCCAGTCCTCAACAAAACCTGTCAGTGAAAGCGCTGTGCCAGCGCGGGAGTCATCCGGCTATACACGTGCCCCCATGCAACGTCGTCATCGAGACGGTGTTTGCCTTGGTGTCTGTAGTTCTCGCATCTGGTGCTGTCCCTCTTGTGGCATGTGTCTGTTCGCAAACGCTGCCTGCTATGTTGGCCCCACAAATGAACGGTTGCAGGCACGACACTAGTGCGAATGGTGTTTTACCCGTGTGCAAGGAATGCAAGGGGCACCGGTGAGCTTGGAGGAGAACGCCTTGCAGTAAGCCTACGGTTGGCAGCGCTAAATGATTCGATAGCATCTCGGTGCGGCCTTCTGTACTAGTATGCCATACCATGAGCGCGGCGATGCAGGTCATAGGCGAGCTTGGCTATCATTCCAAGACCAGGTACGATCTTCACGAGTTGCAGTTTCAACGTTACATACCGCTGGGCAACGCGTTTGAACAGCCCTACCTTCCTTATATAAAGCAGCACCGGATACATGGCGCAGAAGAGTCGATACAATCGATCAAACTTGCAGCTGAGATTATCAAGAATCTCGAAATACCATCAGCAGACGTGAGGCTACAGTCACCAACGACTCTGCAACGTGACCAGAATTGAAGTCATCACACCTCGCGTATCTTGTCACACAGGTATGCCTTTCATCTCAGCGAGGACGTTTAAGGCTCACAAGGCACACTCGCAATTTCAAATATCTATATACCACTGCTGTTCAGTTGCTAATTCGAACAAAGTGTCGTACATAGTCGTTGCTCCCCGATCGACTGATTGGCCACCTTCCCCGCAGCGCCAACAGACTCTTTTCCCAAGCCGTTCTTCATACAGACCACATAAACAAAGCCACTTCAGCGATCAGACAACATGGATGGCGAAAAGTGGAGCCAAACATTAGACAAAGCCATCGATGCCGTTGTTACGATAGATTACTGCCACACACACCCCTTCGATACCAACCCGGCCTCCAACGGACAAGCTACTGGCTTTGTGGTAGACGCCGAGAAGAGATTGATTCTCACAAACAGACACGTTGTTGGTGCTGGGCCATTTTTTGGGCAATGCACCTTTCACAATAACGAGAAGTGTTCTGTCTCTCCGGTATACCGTGATCCGGTACATGACTACAGCGTTCTTCGTTTCGACCCAAATGGTAATAAGTACGTGACCTTTACCGCCCTCGCACTTCGACCCGACAACGCCAAGGTAGGCGTCGATATCTGGATGCTTGGCAACGATGCTGGAGCCAAGCTTAGTATCCTCCAGGCCACTATTAGCAAAGTAGATTGCAATGCACCCAACTACTCTGAAGGATACTGCGACTTCAACACGAACTACATACAAGCTAGTGCCTCAGCCAGTGCAGGGTCCTCAGGTAGTCCTGTAATAGATCGCCATGGATATGCCATTGCAATGCAGGTTGCTGGACGAAAGGGTACTGCGCTCGATTTTCTTCTGCCCCTGAATCGGGCTGCACGGACGCTACGGCTACTAGGTCAGGACAAACAAGTTACCAGAGGCACTATCCAGACCCAGTGGATACTGAAGACATTCTACGAGTGTCGAGAACTAGGCCTCACTGCCCAAAACGAGGAAGAGGTCCGCACCCAGTTCCCCAAAGACACTGGCATGTTGGTTGCCGAGGTTGTGCTCCCTCAGGGCCCTGCTTGCAGCAAGATCGAACAAGGCGACATCCTGTTGAGCGTTGATGGGGAGCTGCTCACCCAATTTTTTCGTCTTGATGCGGTTCTTGATGAAAATGTGGGCCAAAAGATCGATGTTGCCGTACAACGCGCGGGAAAGATTGAAAAGTTCCAGCTCGAGGTCGGCGACCTCCACACGATCACCCCCAATAAGTTCGTCACTGTTTCGGGGGCTTTATTCCACGAATTGTCATATCAAAGAGCCCGCCGCTACGGTGTCTCACTTAAGGATGCAGGCGTATGTGTTCGGGCAGAAACAGGCTCATTTAAACTGACCCAAGGGTCCACTTCAAACCTTCTGATCCAGGAAGTCGCCGGCAAGCCAACACCAACCCTGGAAGCCTTCATCGAAGTGATTCAAAACCTACCTGACGGAGAGCCGGTGCCTATAAAAATTAGGGATCTCGAAGCAGTGGATATCGAACGAACTTGGACGGTTCCTATCGACAGGCATTGGGATAAAACCCCGCAGGTAGCCACCCGCAATGATGAGACAGGATCTTGGGACTTCCAGTTACTTGCTGCCGCTCCACTACCTGTGCCTCCAAGAAAAACCGAGGCAGCATTTGTTGAGATAAGCGGCGAGCACCCGGAGGCAAGCGACATGGTACGCAGTTGCGTACATGTAAGGAGTTCCATGCGCATGAAGATTGAGGATTGTCCCGATTGGGAAACTAATGGCTCAGGTATTATCGTTGACGCAGACTGTGGCTATGTCTTGGTTTCCAAAGCATTCGTGCCACACAGTTTGTGCGATATATCTCTAATGATCGCCGGTAAAATCGATGTCAAAGCAGTTGTTGTCTTCAGCCACCCATCGCTGAATTATGCCATTGTCCAGTACGACGCCTCGCTAGTCGGCGCTCCTGTGAAGACACCCAAGTTCTCCACTCAACACATTAAGAAAGGTGCTGAGGTTACTTTCTTTGGATCGGATTATCTCTTCCACCCCTTAGTGACAAAAACGACTGTCGCAGACATCACTTCAGTTTCCACACTAGATGGTGATACGCTGCGATACCGCGCCACCAACTTCGAAGCAATTACCCTAGACACAGATCAGGGTCGAAGGTGCAGTTCGGGCGTACTCCTTGACAAGGATAGTATGGTACAAGCTTTTTGGCTCGTGTTCTTAGATGGCAACAACGACGATTACCGGTTTGGTATTTCAACACCCGACTTCCTTCCAATCCTTGATCAGATTCGGCGCAAGGAGACGCCTAAGCTCCGCATCTTGGACGTGGAATTTCAGTGCTTTCATCTGTCTCAATCCCACACCATGGGCTTATCTCAAGAGCGAATTCAGGAGATAGAAGCTGCTGATCCAGAACGCCATCAAGTGTTCCAGGTGGATCAGATCGACTCGATTCTCGATAATGGCCTCAAGCACAGTGACATCCTTTTGAAGCTGGATGGCACCCTTGTGAGTCGTTACTCTGGTTTGGATATCGTTTCCGACGACGAAGCTCTTGATGCAGTCGTCGTGCGAAACGGTGAAGAGATGAGCCTCCGGGTCTTGACTGTTCCGTGGCAAAACTTTGAAACTAATCAGGTGATCGAATTCTGTGGAGCAATTTTACATCCGCCTCATCGAGCTGTGCGTCACCAGATGAGCAAAGAACATTCTTGTGTTTACATCTCCTCGCGTGTCGCTGGCTCGCCAGCGTGCATGTACAAAGTAAGATTGACTACTGTTTTACCTACCCCTGCTCTCTTGGTTGTTGTTTTGCTTGACTGTTGTGTCTTTGCACTGCATTTCGCTGACTATATGCAATAGCTCCAACCTAAAACCTTCATCACCGGTGTGAATAATGTTCCCACTCCCGACCTGTCGAAATTCCTGGTAGAGGTAAAGAAGATTAAGGCCAATGAAAGTTTTCGTATCGACATTATGTCAATCAGCCGTATCCGAAGTTATATCACCATGAAGAAGAACATTCACGACTTCCCAACTGTCCAGTGGACGAACGATTTGTCCACAAAGGAAGGATGGGTGAAGAAAACACTTGAGTTCGATGAACGAGGGGTAAGATAGACGGTAATGCCTAGTGTATTTGCGTCTCATACCGGGCAAGACTCAGCGTTCCATAGAATAGTTTAATCAATAGCCTCAGTATATCAAAAGTACCTCAAGATCACGGACTGGTACTCACTCGGTGTAGCACATCTGGCTACTAGGAAAATTCCAAATTGAATTTTTTGCTTATCAACAGCTTTTATAACAACGCTGACAAGAACTATGGCCATGCGGCCGTCAGCAGCTTACAACTGCTAGTCTGGAATTCCATCAGGCTGGAATTGCGTTAGTTTGGAATTTTGTCATCGTGGAATTACATACCCCAACCCTGGAATTCCATACCTAGGCTTGGGGGCAAGGCTGTGTCGTGTTGAAACTCTCTGTCATCTTCCACAATATGTAGTATGAGGTCACTGTGGGATATGTGCCGTGATGTTCTTTTGTGCTTGGCACAACCCTGCGTATATACTGCAGTCACAAGCTCGCCAAGATGAGGCTCTGGATCTGACGGAAAAATGCTCTTCAAGCTTGCGGATTCTTTGACCAGGGATTACTTTGGCACCCAGTCGTCACTTGACACGCTGAGCAGTCGGCAAGCAGAGCAACATAACAGGCCTCACACACGTTCTCTTCGCGGATCATCAGGTCATGTATTTAACTGGAATTCTACGATCAAGCTTGTTTATCTTACATGACGCCCATTCTTGTGTCCCGCAAACCCCCTTGTGCCGCAGATATCGAGGGATACTTCGACCTCGATGATGTGCAGAAGGAAGCATTGTAAAAAATATCCACCGACATGATAGCTCGATCACAGCCACGCAAACATAGACTTGGTGCGTAGACCCTCATGCACCTCACCTTTACATGGAATAACTTCGTTTTAGCTTTAGCCTTGTGACACAGTACATATAACGCGGGCTTTTGAAGCTCGTATGTCAAATCGTTACATCTGTGACCATTATTTGCGTCGTAGGCTGTTCCCCTTTGCATCATCACTATCCGTTGCTGAGCTTATTGCCTTGTCTTTTCCCTGAAACTCATCACCTTCAACCACCACGCCTCCAGCTTCATCCCCACCCTCCTTCGTGGGATTGGTCCTTGCCTCCTTTGAAAAAATTCCCTCTGTCTGCTTCTTCCACAGCTCTGCATACTTGCCTGCTTCGTTCTGCAGCAGCTCTTGGTGTCTACCTCTCTCAATGATTTCACCCTTCTCCACCACCAAGATCTGGTCTGCATCCGCAATTGTGCTCAGTCTGTGCGCAATCACAAACGTTGTGCGGCCCTGGCTTAGTCTGCGGAAGGCTTGTTGGATGGTTGCTTCAATGGAAGAGTCGATTGCTGATGTTGCTTCATCCAGTAGTACAATCTTCGGGTTCTTGAGGAGAACGCGGGCAATGGCTATGCGTTGCAGTTGTCCACCAGATAGCCGTACTCCACGCTCGCCTACCTTGGAGTCGTAACCATCTGGGAAGCTGACAATATCGTCGTGAATCGCGGCGGCGCGGCAAGCATCTTCGATCTCGGCATCGGTGGCGTCGAGTTTGGCGTAGCGGATGTTCTGGCGAATGCTTTGGTTGAAGAGAACGGGGTCTTGAGGCACAACGCCGAGGGCCTCGCGCAGATTGGCTTGAGTAACTGAGCGCAGGTCTTGTCCGTCGATCAAGATAGAGCCGCCGGTCACATCGTAGAAGCGGAAGAGAAGCTTGAGCATGGTAGATTTTCCGCCACCCGTTTCACCCACAAAGGCAACAGTCTGACCACCCGAAGCTTTGAGGTTGACCTTCTTGATGATAGGCTTACGTGGGTCGTAGTGGAAGTTGACATCCTTGAATTCCACCTCTCCAGTGTGCACAACAAGATCCTTAGCGTATTCCCGGTCAGCGACAGAGGGCGGAGTGTTCAGCAGCTGGAGCAGACGTTCGGCAGCGATCAGCGAGCCGGTGATCTGTTGGTAGCTGTGTGAAAGGACGTAGAGCGGCGAAGTTATTGTGCCCCAGTACATGATGAGCGTGACGAGGTTGCCAATTGGCTTTTGTCCGGTAACAATTTGCGTCATACAGAAGACACAGACACTAAAAAACCCAACGGTAGTCAAAAGAGATTGCGCAGCATTCCCACCCATGTATGTCAGGCGGTACGCATACTGTGCCGAGATGGCGTCGCTGATCTTCTTACTATAGCGCTCGTATTCAAATGCCAAACGATTGAAGTAAGCGACCGTCTGCCAGTTATGTACTGTCTCGTTGACTGTGGAGCTTTCCGCTCGTTGATTTTCAACGTAGTCTCGTCGCTTAGGTTGAGACAGGGTAGTAAAGTAGAATCCGATGGCAACATAGGCTGCGCCCATGTATAGAACAATAAATACCATATACGCATTGAACAAATGGGTTATGTAGAACATGGCAACAAGAATATCCAGGAACATTGGCGCAATGTTAAATAAGACCATTTCGATGAGTGTGTTCAGCGAAGATGCCTGCTCGATAGCCTTCATCACCTCACCCGAGTCTTTCGAAGTATGAAAGCTCATGGACAGACGCAGAACGTGGTCGTAAGCTAGCAGGGTAATGAGGCGATAGCTAGAGTTTGTGATGAACATATTCGCCAGGCTATCCAGAATGCTAAACACGGTGGGGCCGTTGATAAAAGAATACAACAACCAGAGGCCGATGTCCTTCCATGGCATGACACCAGTCTTCGTCACGTAAGCTTCTTGTAGTTTGGTGGTGATGATACCGAGCTGTCGAGGCGTGAGTAGGTTAAAGGTACGCTTTAGCATCGTGTGTGCGATTCGCACACCGAGGGAGGCCATGACTGTCCAGTCGTTTGTTGGAAAAAGATAGGGCAGAAAGATCATGAAGCCCTTCAAGTAGCCGAACCAACCACCCTCTTCTTCGAGACGCTTGGCTTGTTGCGCCTTGATGTCTTTATCAACTTCTTCTCGCGGGCCGTCCTCACCGTCGCTTTCATCTTGGGGAACACCACCATAGCTTCTGTTGATGCTTGCGCCCGGAGAACCATTTGCTTGTTTGCCGAGAAGCGACTGACTTTCTTCGTCTGTACAGGCTTCAGCTTGTTTGGTAACGAGAATGACAAATGAATCAATCAGCAAGAGTAGCGATACGAAGGCTCTCAAGCAGCTGTTGAGTAGTGGTGGATGATTTTGTCGAACGTGCTGTGACTGTGCGAAAACCATAACCAAGCATGTCGCTGTCTCGAGTGCAAACTGGAGAATGAAGGCTCCAAAATAAGCATACCAATGCAGCAACTGGCTTGCCCACAAGAGACATGAAAGAAGGGACCAGACGAGGATGGAGCTCAAACATCGTATCGCCAAGGGCTGCGGAGCCGTGTAATTAGGATCTGCTATCGAGCAACTGAGGTAATAGAGGACTTCCGTAGTGTATGCAGCGAGCATGGTGAGCATGAAAGCCATGATACTGATTCTTCTCTTCTGTGGCACTATTCGCGCCTTTTGCAAGGTGCAGAGACCGAACATATACGCTCCCAGGTAGTAGAAACCGACCATTGGAGCGTGCGTGTAGCTCAGGAGCGTCATGATCGCGTAGAAGGGAGGCGGCGACAAATCATGATCCATGACGGCGGTGGAAGCGGTGTTTTCTCTTATAGATTCCTGCGTACTATCGCAGAGTAACACGGGAAAGAGCGTGGTCGGGACGCGAAAGAAATCAGTAGTGGGAAGGCTTGCTGGGCAGGCAGTCCTCTTGTTCTTGTCCACGCCGATGAGAAGGACCTGCGATCCCTCTGGAAGCCTTAACCTAAAGGAGTTTCGAGGAAGGCCGGTGAGAGTAGGTCTCAAATCTCAGCAAACCATTGGTAAACGTGAACGAAAAACATGGGAAACCCTTTACTAAGATTTGGGGGCTATATGTAAGATCTGCAGCACCGCCATAAGGTTGTTATCTGCACTACCAAAGAATCAAAATGGAGCTAGTAGCGTATGCACGCTTTTTTTTAGTGTTGAGCACGAACCGGAGGCAAGTAGCCTTAAAACTACAAGTCATGAAGATCGTACCTGGTCTTGGAATGGTAGCCAAGCTTGCCTATGACCTGCATCGCCGCGCTCATGTTATGGCATACTAGTACAGAAGGCCGCACCGAGATGCTATCGAATCATTTAGCGCTGCCAGCCGTAGGCTTACTGCAAGGCGTTCTCCTCCAAGCTCACCGGTGCCCCTTGCATTCCTTGCACACGGGTAAAACACCATTCGCACTAGTGTCGTGCCTGCAACCGTTCATTTGTGGGGCCAACATAGCAGGCAGCGTTTGCGAACAGACACATGCCACAAGAGGGACAGCACCAGATGCGAGAACTACAGACACCAAGGCAAACACCGTCTCGATGACGACGTTGCATGGGGGCACGTGTATAGCCGGATGACTCCCGCGCTGGCACAGCGCTTTCACTGACAGGTTTTGTTGAGGACTGGGTTGGAAAGGGTAATTTCCCAACAGCCTTGCTCCAGCAGATAGGGGTCGCAGCATGATGCCGCAATCGTCATTCTCTGCTATGCGCTGTCTGCTGCGTCACTGACATGAGAGCCTGAGTGATCG